CGTTACCCAAAACCAGTAGAAACGTTGTAACAACAATCAACAAAATTTTTTACTCCATTTTTTATCTCGTTAACAAAAAGTTGTTTGTTATAAATAGCTTTATGGTTTAAATATCCCAGCAGTAACAAAACACTATTGTATCTGTATTAATCTGCATCCTTCCCAGGGCAATAAATGGGGCCTAGAAGGTTTATGATTTTTGATTATTTTGAACAGAATAACTTCAATGAAATCTTTGCCTACGTTAACTGGAGAGTCACGTACATGGTCAATATTTAAACAGTTGTCTAAAGTTTAAAACTTTTTGAAAAATCTTCCAAATGCAAAAAATTGTCGAAAATTAAATGTTTAGACAATATTAAAAAATTAAATAAAACATCTTTTGACATTTATCAACTAATGGATTAATTACATATTTTATAACTCTAGTTAATACATTTGCTTTTATACTTATTTGAAAGAATATTGTCTGCTTTTTATTGTTTAACTATTCCAACCTTCTTTTAAATAGCAACATTCGAATCAAGTTTTTTTAATTAATAAGTTCCGAAATTCTTGTATCGTTAATAAACAAACAAATTTTCAATTGAAAAGTAATAAGCACTTCAGTTATCGAGATATGAAGTCTTCTTATTTAAAATTATAGTGATAAACACTCAAAACTAGTGTATCCTAATCGCTTATGCCAAACTGAGTTACACAACATTCGTATACTTATAATAGGATCTTTGTCTTAAATGTAACTTACACAAAATGTGTGAAGTCTGTTCAATTTAAAACATAAAATTTTGTTTAAAATTTAAAAGATATTCAACAATTGTTAGCTGTTGCGCAACTGAGGTGTTACTGATCAAAGCCAGCTCATTTTTATTACTGCTAACTGTCCTAAATTAGGTTATAAACATTGGATACACGTACATTGACCATTTAAAAAAAAAAAACTAAAATATTTTGGAGCATAAAATAACACTTTCGAAATTTAGTATTTAAAACTTTTTAAAACACTTTTCCTATATTACGTAATGTCTAAATCAACTACAAAATTTTGGAACTGGATTTATTAGTTCTTGAAAACTAATGTCAATTTTAATGGTGTTTTTAATAAACTGAGAAAAAAGCATTCTGGGACTATTTTTGGAAATCCTGAAGCCCAAAGTAAAAAATTTAGTTTGATTCACACAGTCACAATGCACTTGGAAATTTTGTAAATAATTTGAAGATACTCAAGTAAACAAACTATAGAAAATGCGTTGGGAGTATGAAATATCAATATTGTAAGATAACCTGAATATGTTGTATCCAAAAACGATTTTTTTACTTAAATCTTGAATTTCAAAACAAAAACTGTCAACATTGTCATACATAACAAATAAAAGTTTTATAAAGATTGGGCGCGCTGATTTCGAGATACATTTTTAAATTTGTATTTTTAACACAGAATCTTATGAACGAAAAACTTCAGAATTTCTGGTTTCATAAATAACTCAAATTGATAAACCAAAGTATTATAAATATACCACATGCTGTTTTAATATATATTAATCGAAAAAAAATTTATTATGCCTTTAGAATATCTATGTACCTAGTGATCAAATTGTTCTCAATTTATAGCATTGAGTTAAATGTATCCCTCTTTTTTTCGGTTTTGTGATGTTGAGTTTTTTAGGTTACTGAAATGTCCACAAAGTCCATTTGCTAAATTTTAATGATTTTCTGCTTCACTAAATAAAATAAAAACTATTGGAGGTGCTTAACTGCCTCAATAATTATAAGATTAGCAAAGAGCAATCAAAGTATTACTCATTCATCAAATAAGGCTTTCAAGAATTTTCTTCTAACACAGAGATAATCCCAAAAAAGTCTATGGGGTATTAAAAACAGATATAAAAAAAAAAATTGTTTTCAAGGTTCAAAACTATTAAAAAATTATTTATCTGCTAGATAACGTCAATAGGTTCAAATAGTTAAAGAATAATGATCAGAGAATATCGCGAAAGATAAATGAAAAAGATTTATCGGCTACAGTTATAAGGGATTTTGATAAAAATCCAAAATTGATTTATTCAATATTCTTAAATTGTCAAAACATCCAATTAAACCTTACAATTTCAATTATCAAATGAACAAGCCTTGCACTTACATGCATGTTACCGTAAATTGCAATATTCTTAAAATTTTTATCTCCTTGCATAAAGGTCCAAGCAGATTTTATGCTTATTAGCCCCAAACTAGATTATCTGAACTAATGTGTGATGCGACATAGATAAATATTAACAATTCACTTTGATCCATCACATTCATAACACAATCATTTAGCACAAGGGAGTTGTTTAGCTTTATTTACAAAATTAATTAAATATGTATTTTTTTTTTTACCTGTAACATTAACTATTTGAAATTTTTCTGTTTTTCCAAATCGATTTTCAGCACGACAAGAATAATTGCCACTATCATCTTTCACTAGATATCTTAATACTAATCTTTGACTATTAGATAACAGGCTTAATCGATCTTTCAGCGAATTTAAAGGTTCATCGTCCTTGTACCATGTAATATTCGGTGTTGGCGTTCCTCCAACGTAACACAACAAATGAATAACGTTTTGAGCATCTGTTGATAATACAGTTACGTTGGTAGAATTCATATTGTCTTTAATGAAATAAGGTTTTCTCGGCTCTAAAAATGTAAACATAATTTTAATGTGAATAAACGTTGTAATACAATACAGACGAAAAGAAACAACTTTTAATTACGTTTAGAAACAAGGGAGTATCTTATTTTTTTGATACTCCTATAATAAGACTTCACGTCACAGTAATAGTCTTTCTCATCTAATTGACTTATGTTATAGATTAATAGTTCCTTACGAACAGTAAAATTAGTGACTTTTGATGTTAAATGAATTTTTGCTGGAATATAATTTAAAGAGCATTAGTTATAAGTTTTAACAAAATATTCTATAAAATTTCTTTATTTTCGTATGTAAAGTAATTTTAGAATTTACCTGAATTACTTATTTTTTCGAAGCGGTCGTCCAACCAAATTGAATATAAATATTTACTTTTAACAGCAGCACAGGTTAAAGTAACGTTGTCACCATAATACGTCTCTTCTGGCCCTATTAGTCCATAAGGTGCATCATCGACTAAGTCTGGGGAAAAAGATAAAAGTTTTAAAACATAGCGAACTGAAAATATTTTTTGAAAATAAAATATAGTACAAAACATGAGCCTAAATCAGCATACCAGTAATTAGAATTTCATGTTTTTTCGAGTCACAAGCATATAAATGGCAGGCCTTGCAAATGATGTCGCCAAATGCTACCAAATTTACTTTTAATTTTGAATAAAAGCTATTTCTACTCTGCTCAGCCTTAAACAGTTAGATAATTTTTAGATCACCATTGCATTTTGTGTTTATAAGTATAAATGTAAGTAAAAAAGTTATACTTGTTTATCAAAGCAAAAAATACCTTCAACTCCACTATTTTGCAATCATGCGTAGAATAATAATCTGGACACATTTCGTAGAACCAAGTTATATTTGGCTTAGGATTGCCAGTAGCTTGGCAAGCGAATGTTGCGCTTTGGTTTACAGTGTAAAAAGTTTTGAGTTCTTCTTCGATTAATATAACATGTGGCTTCTCTGCAAATGTACAATAATTTGCGTTTTGTATAAAGAAAAGGGCTAAGGGTTTCCGCATAAAATGATTTGACATTATGTTCTATATCAAAATTACCATAAACTGTAAGAGAAAAATTCAAAAGCTTTACTACATTGCTGTTATTTGCTCGAAGAGTATAAATTCCCTGGTCTTCTAATTGAACAAAATCGATCATTAAGTTGCTTTCTGGATACTTCGGATATTGTCTTTTGTAATTAGGCATTCTGAACTTTCTACCTAATACTATCTCAGTACCACTGGGTGTAAGCCTGAAAAATATTATCTTTGATACTAGAAGTCATCATAAATTATAGATTCTTCATACGAATGTATAGCTTTTATTGAAGTGCAATGATTACCACGTGAGAGTTGGTGGTGGATAAGCATCAATGTAAGCTGTAAATATCACTAAATCATCAACTTTATGAGTCTCATTTCCATTCCTAGCTTTTAAGTTTATGAAAGAGATATTTGGATCTGTAAAAATATACAAGTCTCAAAATGCAAGATTTTGTCTGTACATTAACGTTGTTTTATAATTTTAAAAACTGACCGTATACTTTTATAAACATGTTTGTACTACGATATTCATTAAACGAAGATCTCACTTGACAAGTGTAATTACCCTCGTCCTCGAAGGTCACATTATTTATAACAAGGATGGATATAATTAAATCATTGACTGCAATTTCTGGTACTTGTATCTGGTTGAAAGTTAATTTGGAGGCCTAATCCATGTACACATTAAATGTATCAGAAAGTTTTTAAATAAAGTGTATTTTTATACAATAAGTACATAAGTAAATCTACACATAATATTCCGAGTTGATCCCCCAGTTTCAAATATGTATTCAAATACTCTTACTAAGTTTTGCGGTGTTTTCCAGGAAATAATGTTAGAACTTTCTACGTAGACTTTAACTGAGCACGTAACGTTTAATGTAGAAGCTGTAAAAATTTTCTTTCCTCCTTCTATTTGTAAAACTGGTTTACTCATGCATTCGCGAAAAGATCTTTTAGGAAATATCATTGTCTTGGTCGTAAAATCACTATTTTTGGCTTCACAGATTAATCTGGGAAATTTTTTTTTAGAGCTGTAAAAACTTAAATTTTTAAAGACAAATCCAACTTTAGGATCAAAAATTGCGTCTCTATTTATGATTTCCTGCAATTTCTAATGCAAAATACACCATTAATTTAAAATTTATATACAAATTCACAAATATTACAAAAAAACTTGGTCTTACAGAATCACTGGTCGTTAGCATAACTTCAATTCTGGGTGAGGTTGTTCGGCATGGAATAATGGCATAATATGGACTGCATCCTACAGCCTGGGGTGAAAACCAAACTGGTTTTATAAAGGCACTTTTTTTAGCTAAGTAAAAAAGTAATAAATTTATTATACGTGCACTCACAGTCGTCATTCTATAAGATTATATTATCCATAAATTTAGTCAAAAATTCATCCACGTATTAAATTCTTACAATTAACGTAAACGTAAATCCAACTTATGCTTTGGTCATTAAAGCCTTTAATTGTTTTTGATGTGAAGGTCTTGTTTACATCAGCACAACCATACCAACCAGCATCTCCAATGACAACTGATTTTCTTAAAAAAGTTTTATTGGTGCTCATTTCTTTTGGATAAATTTCATAATCAGACGATATTACCTATTTGTTTTTTGTAAAAAAAATTACTGTACTTATTTAAAAAAGGACATACAAAAGAAACAATGTGTACTACAACTTATTTACTTACACCTTGAAGCCAATAGCGACCTGGATAAAAAAACTGTACATGGCTATTGCTCGTGCACTTAATTTCTAGGGCTGCTCCCTCCTTTATCTCCAACTCAGTTACATTTGGATGAAGTTGTGGCTTATATCCGTGGCAACCTATGCACGTAAACAAAGTTAAGTTTGATGTAGAGATAATGCGGCTCTTAAACGAGAAATGTTAAAAATTGAAGATGTCAGATAATTATGACTACATATCATGGTGTGCTGCTTAAGGTGTGTGTAACCTTAAGGTAGGATCATCAGAAAACAGATGTTTTATCCATCAAAATAAATAGTAATGCATTGTAGGCGTACTGTATAGAGCTGCAGATCTTTCCAATCAAGATATTGTTAAACTTTATGGAGACAGACGAAGAATTCATTTTAGATAACCAAACACAATTTAATGAATAAACATATTAGTAGCATAAAATATTTATGCTTTAATTCATTTTGTCTGATATTAACTGCAACTGAAGTTAAGTATACACTTTTTTAACTTTTAGTTCTTCAACCTGTCAACATCAGATTTTTTGTTTTCATTGTTAATTTCTGTAACTTCTTTTTTATTTCACAACCGACATATTTCATTTATGCTTTGCTTAAACTATCTGAACAAGGTCAACTCTCCTTTGAGACAACGCGAACATATGCAGCCGATTTATAATATTCAGGGTGATAAAATGTAGGATGGATGAGTGAGAGCGGGTTCTTTTATAAATAAAAACAACAATTATTCGCGGGACGACACTACTTACCTAGGCATAAAACTCTCGCGGATTGAGAGAAAGCCGGGGTAAGTGTAATATTTTTATATAATCAGTCAATAAAAGGTACAGAACAATTATAATTGTAAGAAATAAGTAACCTTAATGCTACGCCTTACACGCTTCGCTCGCAACGTGACAAGATAACGCGCTACACGATTCGCGAGGATCCTTTAGTACCTAAAGAGAGCTCTCTTACCTCAGTTGCGCCGTCCGTAATAAATACTCCAACACCGCACCGCGGAGGATGGGTGTCGAGGAAGTGCCGCAGGGGGCTCGGGAGCGCACAGGAGATTCGAGACCTGGCTGTCCAAGCGCGTCCCGACGTCTCGAGCTGCCAAACGCTTGGACGACGGGCAACACTCTGTTGCCGCGTTGCGCTCGCCGTAGAAGATCACGATTACCCGTGGACACCTTCTCCCACCGAGTAACACCAAAACCACACACGCTTCACTCACACTACTATTCTATCCCAGCGCCTGGGCACTCGTATACATTTGTTGGTTATCCGATTAATTAGTCGCACGCTCGCTTACAATACAACACGCGGGACGCCGAAAATGCCTCTCCCGCAGTTGAGACGCTAATAATCAAGGCCCGCGCGGCCTGTTGCGCCATAGAGAAAAACAGGTGGCGCGGCGAAAACTCAGCTCTCAAAAAAAAGTGACGGCGCGTCAAGGGAGAGAGAAGGATAGCGCACTAATTGCTTCGGTAAATTAAGACGCAGAGCACGCGGGTCACAAAACGCCCGAACATCCCGCCCGCCTTCGTCCGGCGGACGAACCAACACTCGACAACAAATCTACATTGTCGTGGTATCTTTCTCCATATACAACGGGCACACACGAGCCACATGACGACGAAGCGACGTCGTGGCCGTCTTCACCGTGACCACTCTCACGAGACCGTCCGGGCCCGGGTGGACGTCAGTTACTCTGCCTAAGGGCCATTTTGACGGGGGGTAACGATCGTCTTTCACGAGAACCAGCCTTCCTACACAGAAGTTTTCCGTCGGCTCTCTCCATTTCTCTCGCTGTTGCAAATGAAGCAGGTATTCGGACGACCAACGCTTCCAAAACAAGTTTCGGATCCTCTGGAGCAATTGATAGCGGTCCAGTCGATTCTGCGGGACATCCGTCAGATTGGCATCAGGAAGCAGGGTCGAAGCACACCCATGCAAAAAATGAGAGGGGGTCAGCGCCTGCAAGTCGTCCACGTCCGCGCTCAAAGCTCCCAACGGCCGTGAATTGAGACACGCCTCAATCTCCACCAGGACCGTCGACAACTCCTCAAAGGTGAGCATGTGCTCGCCCACCACCCTTTTTAGGTGATGTTTTACCGATTTAACTCCTGCTTCCCACAACCCGCCGTAATGTGGGGCGCTCGGGGGTATGAAATTCCAGTCCGTCCCATCGTTCGCGAGAACAGGGGCGAGTTTATTATAAAATTCAGACGCGCGCTGAAACATTGATGCTAGCTCTGTGTCTGCTCCATGAAAATTAGTTGCGTTGTCGCTGTAGAGCTTTCGGCAGACTCCACGCCTACCCACAAACCGACGATAAGCGCTGAGGAAGGAAGCCGATGTAAGATCGCTGACAAGCTCGAGATGTATGGCCCGCGTAGAAAAGCACACAAAAACGACAATGTACCCCTTATATGACTTGTGCCCGCGGCCCTTTGTGGCACGTACTTGAATCGGACCCGCGTAATCCAATCCTGTCACTAAAAACGGCCTGCCCGCGGTGACTCGATCTGCTGGAAGCTCCCCCATTAATTGCTGGGTCGACTGTGGTTTGACGCGCTGACAGATCAGACATTTACGGACTACCGTCTTTACCAACTTATTTCTACCCAAGATCCAAACGTGCTGCATTAACAGGCTGGAAGTCAAGGTGGGGCCACCATGCAGGCAATGTTGATGAGCATAACGCGTAAATAAAAGGCTGAGATTGGAGTTTTGCGCCAAAATCGACGGGTGCTTGCTCTCGAAAGAAAGAGTCGAATGTTCCAGTCGCCCTCCCACGCGCAAAATACCATCTCTGTCAAGAAAAGGGTTAAGCTTACTAAGTCGACCGCGTTTCGGCAAGCTCTTGCCCTCTCTCAGCAATTTTAACTCACCGGCGAAGCTACTATCCTGTGATAGTTTGATGACACTTTTACGCGAATCCGCCAACTCGGATGCCGTAAGAAACGGTGGGAATGGCTCCATCTTCTTTTTACGCCCACGCAGTATGAGCATTGGACGCCTGCAGTATGCGACTACGCGAATTAAACGGGTCAGCGAAGAAAATCTCGTCAACAAATCCGACTCGGACGGCAACTGACGAACGTGAGCGACTCGGCGACTTTCCGCTGCCTCCGGCCACTGCTCCGGAGCCTCAGCGAGCCATCGAGGCCCGTGCCACCACTGCCCATTCTCCGCCAACTCTATAGGATCGGCTCCTCGTGTCGCCAAGTCAGCCGGATTTTCCTTTGTCGGCACGTGCCTCCAAGTTGCAGAGGGCAACTCCGTCTGGATGAACGACACCCTATTTGCAACAAAGGTTTTCCAAGAACAGGGGTGCCTGCGCAGCCACATAAGCACAATCTGGCTGTCGGACCAAGCGAAGACCGGAGCTGTTTTAAGAAAGTCCAGTTTCATCAAGTGGCCAATCAACCTAACAAGCAGAGCGGCGCCGCAAAGCTCTAAGTTCGGTATACTGACGGTCTTTACCGGAGCGACCTTCGTCTTTGCGGCTAACAGTGACACCTTAATATGTCGGTCCCCTCCATCCACGCGCAGATATACGGCGGCCGCGAAGGCCCGCGATGACGCGTCAGAGAATCCGTGAATTTGTAATGAGCAATTACCTGCAACGCCCAACCATCTGTCGACTGCCAGCGACGGCAGATTGGCCAATGACTTGCAGTATTCGTACCAACGCTCGCGAATCTCCGCCGGTAGAGGAGAATCCCAATCGCATTTTTGAATCCACAGATCCTGCATTAAGATTTTCGCTCCTACTGTCACCGGGGACAGCCAGCCAAGCGGATCGAATAGTCGAGCAATGTTTGAGAGAACCGTCCGCTTCGTGGAGGCAGCTGACAATTCTGCGACGTCTCTACAACTAAATCTAAATTGATCGTGAGCCGGACTCCAATGCACGCCGAGTGTTTTTACTGACTGGTCCTCGTCGATTTGTTTTACGTCCTCCTGCGCTAGTCGAGGAGGGATAAGCTCTGGGTGATTTGCGGCCCATTTATCTAGTGATATCCCGGCGCAACCCAGCAGCTTAACGAGCTCGTTCCTTTTTTGCAGCGCGTCCGTCAGTTCATCGGCCCCGGCGAACGTGTCGTCGACGTATGTTTCAGTGCTGAGACATGCCGCTCCCAGCGGAAACCGCGAGCCCTCATCCTCGGTCAATTGTAACAGAGTTCGTATCGCCAAAAAGGGCGCGCATGCCGTGCCGTACGTGACCGTAGTTAAGCGGTAATCTCGTGGGACAGAGTCCGGGTTAGGCGCCCACACAATTCTCTGTCGATCCTGGTCCTCCGGCTTCACGCGGATCTGTCGAAACATTTTAACTATATCCGCGGTAAACACGTACAAATAACGCCGCCAATTGAGTAAAACTAGCGAGAGGTCTCGTTGGAGTGGAGCACCCGTGTGCAGAAATCCGTTAAGGCAAAGGCCATCCCGAGTTCGCCGCGATGCGTCGAAGACTACCCTCAGCTTCCAATCAGCCGTCGTTGACTGCACCACGGCATGGTGAGGCAAATACCACGCTTTATCCTCGCGCACCTCAGAGTCCGGAACCCGTGTCATATGGCCCAGTCGCTCATAATCCGTCATGAATTGTTGATAACTATGCGCCAATTGGGGATCGCGCGCAAACCGACGGTACATGGAAGAAAGGGAGCCAACGGCCATCCGCCTTGTTTCAGCCGCTCCAGACGGTAAATCTGCCTTCCATGGCAGCCGCACGACATATCTTCCATCCGCGTCGCGCCCATGCGTCTCTTTGAATATTTTCTCGCAAGCCTCGTCCTCGAGCTTCATTTTAACCTGCGTCACCGGTAAGTCCTCGAGCTCCCAAAATCGCTTTAGTGACCGTTCCAACTCATCCGACGCAGCGCAGTGCAGCGCCTGTACATACACTCGAGAGTCAGCTTGCTCCGCCCGCCGTGAGCGCTCCTCATGCAACCCACCCGAGACAATCCATCCAAATGCCGTATTTTGCATGACGATCCGTGAAGGAACCAATCTTTCCAAGCCCGGTCGGAGCAACTGCCCATAAACATCGGCACCCAGAATGAGGTCGATTTTCTTTGAAATGAAAAATTCCGGATCAGCGAGCTTAAACCCGGTGAAGCGTCTCAAGTCTAAATCAGTGATATTCTTTGCCGGGAGCTGCGTAGTGAGACGAGGGAGGACAAACGCGCTTGTCCGAATCGCGAAGCCCTCATCGGTCGATGATTTCAAAACAAGTTCCGTGGTCGCACGCGCAATACCCACCGAACTGGTGCCCAGGCCGCTCAAAGCGACACAAACACGCTCCTTCGAAAGGCCTAACAACTGCACGACCGACTCTGATACGAAGGACGCCTCGGAGCCCTGATCCAAAAGGGCGCAAACGACGGTGCTATCTCCAGCTGGACCCACCACCGTCACTCGAGCAGTAGCCAAAAGGACTCCGCGACTCAACGTCGCAATCGCGGACGCATGCAACGCTACAGCAGCCGCGCCGACCCTGGACCCCACGCCCTGACCGCCGCCCGATCCCTGCTGCTGTGAACCACTCGAGTTCTGCCGTTCAGATTTTCCTGGAGGCTTGAGGTGAAGCATCGAGTGGTGCTTGCCTCCGCAACTGGTACAACGCCCCGAAGAAGGGCACGCGTTAGCCTTATGCGACCCGAGGCAATTAAAGCAGGCCTGTAGCCGACGCGCCGTCGAGTATCGGTCATGCGGAGCCTTCTCCTTCATTTTAGTGCACTTCCACAGTGGGTGCGCTCCCGAGCACAAGAGGCACCTCGAAGAAGCAGATTGCTGAGTCGCGCCCGCGTGAAAAACTTTCCGAGCCTGTGCCGGTGCCGAGCCAGACACCGGTCTCTTTTCCGCCTTTCTATCCGTCGAAATCATGCCAAGAGCCTGGGCTCTCTTTTCCAAAAATCGAACTAAATCAGAATACTTCGGCTGAGAATTAAGGGCATCCGGCCCGTCAGGGCTCCCGTCTGCGCTATCCTCCAAATCTCTAGCGCTGAGCTCGGCCTCCCACAATTTTCGTGACTCCGCATCCAACCGATCAGCCAGCAAAAATACTAGCCACACGTCCCAGTGCCTGACTGGCAATTGTAAGTTTTCCAAAGCCCGAACAATACGCTGCGATTCATCCACGAACGCTCGCATGGCAGTCGCCGACTCTACTCTCATACTCGGAATCTCCATGAATGACCTAAGTAGCTTGTTGACTATTAAGCGCGGGTTATTGTACCGAGTCCTCAACGCTTTCCATGTACCCACGTAATTCGCGTTCGTTGTCGACACGTCCCTGATGAGCTCCGCGGCCCCGCCCGTCAAGCACAACTTCAAGTATTGAAGCTTCGTGGCGTCTGATAAGCGGGAGTCATTATGCACCAGCGAAGTGAATAAATCGCAGAAGCTCGCCCATTCTTCGTATGCGCCCGAAAAGGTAGGCAGCGGTAGTCGAGGCAGCCTCGCGACACGCGACTCAGAGCCCGCATCTGAAATGCTGCTATCAGCGTCCTTTTCGAAAGGGGCAAGCATCATAAGCATCTCGTCCAAAGCACCCTCATACACGCCCTGCATACGCTCGAACCATTTATCCGTGATGTACGCGTCCGCCTCAACATCGTCTCGAATGACTATATCCGCGTTGGTTTTTCGCGCCTCAGTCCATACCTCCTTGATGGCATCGAGTCGGGCCTTCACAATGTCTCTCGTAAGTGACTCACGTGGCTTCGCAATCAATCGCTCGTGGATGCTTTTTATTTCAGCCTCGCGGGCCGCCTGCATCGACGTCAGCTTTCTCAGAGCTACGGGTGCCATTGTGCACTCTATTCCGACCTCAGACGAATTCACTCGCGCACAATAAAGTATCTCAATAACACGAGAATCTTGAAGAATTTGTAATTCTAAGAACAAGCCGTTGCAATGCAAACGCCTTTTTTACATACCGAAATATATGGATTACAATGAAATGCGCAAACTAACTAAAGTACGCTACTAAAGAACCTCGCACTCACTCCTCACCCGGGGCACCATGAACAAGGTCAACTCTCCTTTGAGACAACGCGAACATATGCAGCCGATTTATAATATTCAGGGTGATAAAATGTAGGATGGATGAGTGAGAGCGGGTTCTTTTATAAATAAAAACAACAATTATTCGCGGGACGACACTACTTACCTAGGCATAAAACTCTCGCGGATTGAGAGAAAGCCGGGGTAAGTGTAATATTTTTATATAATCAGTCAATAAAAGGTACAGAACAATTATAATTGTAAGAAATAAGTAACCTTAATGCTACGCCTTACACGCTTCGCTCGCAACGTGACAAGATAACGCGCTACACGATTCGCGAGGATCCTTTAGTACCTAAAGAGAGCTCTCTTACCTCAGTTGCGCCGTCCGTAATAAATACTCCAACACCGCACCGCGGAGGATGGGTGTCGAGGAAGTGCCGCAGGGGGCTCGGGAGCGCACAGGAGATTCGAGACCTGGCTGTCCAAGCGCGTCCCGACGTCTCGAGCTGCCAAACGCTTGGACGACGGGCAACACTCTGTTGCCGCGTTGCGCTCGCCGTAGAAGATCACGATTACCCGTGGACACCTTCTCCCACCGAGTAACACCAAAACCACACACGCTTCACTCACACTACTATTCTATCCCAGCGCCTGGGCACTCGTATACATTTGTTGGTTATCCGATTAATTAGTCGCACGCTCGCTTACAATACAACACGCGGGACGCCGAAAATGCCTCTCCCGCAGTTGAGACGCTAATAATCAAGGCCCGCGCGGCCTGTTGCGCCATAGAGAAAAACAGGTGGCGCAGCGAAAACTCAGCTCTCAAAAAAAAGTGACGGCGCGTCAAGGGAGAGAGAAGGATAGCGCACTAATTGCTTCGGTAAATTAAGACGCAGAGCACGCGGGTCACAAAACGCCTGAACACTATCAATGTTTCTCTGACATTAAATATTTATCTCTTGCAATCTATCTTTAAGTATCAATCCCTATGCGCGTATCCTATTGTATTGTTATTACGTGACAGTTACGATTGCGTTTTATTATCTAATATGAACAAGGTATTCATTAAACTTTAAATTATTTATTTATTTTGTGTACAAAATAGTTATTTACGTAACAAGTGCGGAAAAGACGACTTCCCGCACGAGTAGTAATTGACTCACATGAGTGGCCGGAGTTGACGGGAACGAGTACCAGTTGAGCACACGAGTGCGTATCACTAGTGTGATCGCAAGGTACGAGTTACCGTCACAGGCCAGAGTGCGAGTCTGTCACACAAGTGCGGGAAATCGTCCCGCACGAGTTGCGTACAAGTTTTTTCGCAATGTGTGAGGAAAATAGGAACAAAATAGGTGTGAGTTTTGATTTCCAGTGTGTAGCAAAATTTTTTCCGGTGTGTGGCAAAACCTTTTCCACACACCTTTTCGGCACACTGTGCAAAAAAACCTTTGCCGCACACCTTTGTCGCACACTATGTCGGAAAATCGATTTTCCACGCTAATACCAGTGCGGAAAACACCCATTTTCTGCACACTATTGTGAAATAGTAGTTTTCCTACGAGTTTGAAAAGTCTTCGTTTGCAAATCGAGAGGTTTGCGGCCTGAGCCGAAGGCGAGGTCCGTAACGAGGTTCGTAAGGGAGACTTTTCGAACGAGTTCCGGAAAACTGCTTTTTCGCCCGAGAAAGTACCAGCCTCCCAAAACCACACGAGGTCGGAAAAATGTTTTTTCTTAGAAATTATTAATGACACAATCGTAGTTTTTAATGTAAGGATAAAGGAAAACGTACAAACGTTATAAGTCTATAATTCAAAACTATTGACTATTTTATTTTACACATATTACAGGCGTAAATTAATGTTGAATATTATACAGAAGCTTAAGAAATGTATTGCTACATAATGAGCAAATTGAACCCCACAAAAAGCATGAATCTACTTAAATTTTATTGTACAGCATACTTGAAAATAACATTTACTGAACAGAATTTTACATGACCTTATTCAAAATTACCTAATCACGTACAATTCATAAGCATTTAATAAAAATAAAGATATTTTCACTTATTGAACCTATGCACTTCATGAATCAAATAGCCGTTCAAAGATGTCTGATACTCATTTGCCAATTTATATATGTTAAGTCCAAATTTTTTTCACTTTATTAAAAAAAAACAATTTTTTATGAATATGGTAATAACACGTAATTAGAATGACATATGAGACATTGTATTTTTTTTTTTTTTTTTTTTTTTTTTTTTTTTTNGATGTACCTCGTAATTTTCTTTTGAAATTTAAAAGTTTGTGTACGAAATATAACCATGGTAAAAAGTATTTTTTCATGTGCATTGAAATAATGGCTCTCAAATATCCTTTTAAACATAAAAATTGCAAAAAAAAAAATCTAATATCATTTTACAGTAGTTGAAATTCATAAAAATTGACTCGTACCTGCATTCATCTTGTCATCATCTATTTTGAAAAAATTCCAATATTTTTCATTGTCCCAAAACGGTATGCATGTATGCCAAATAATTCGTTCTCCTAAAATAGCCTTTTCGTGACTACGCAAGGTGAAAATCACAAAGAAGTGTAAAAAAAAACATGAATCGTCATCGTAAGCGCTATACCTTCGAGCTCGTGGCTAGGAATTTAATACGCGAGCAAAAAAGAAAAGAAAAAAAATGTACGTTTTCGTTTTCTCTTCCATACTCGCATACATCATAATAACAGAGGCAAGCGTTCAAGGCCCGTTACGCGCGCTCGCTCGAGTGCCACCCATAGGATACGCATGTGTATTATATGTATTCGCGCTCGAATCACGATTCCCCGGTACACCCATTGCAAAACGCTCCGTCTATTTTGATTGAGCTAATTGGGGTTTAAAAGAGAGAGAGAGGGAGGGGTAAAGTTTTAAGTGTATAGTGCGTACGCGCGTGAAAGTGCGAGTACTTTTATTTCGGTCCGTGACCGCGGGGCAGAGAGAAACGACACGGACAAGTGCTTGAATTTCGTGAGGATCGAGAATGTTCTACTTTCAATGGGAGTCATTTGTGCGAGAGCTTGCTAAATCCTCGGGGCTACTCAAAGTACGCCGTTCTCTTCTTACGCACGGTATTTATCGGATTTTTTTGTTTCGCGATTGCCTGGGCAATTCGTTTTTTTATTTGTTTCAAGTTGTCTTACTCTGTGGTGTAATGAAAGCTGCCGGTGAACTGGCAGATATTGAAACACTATTGATCTCACCGTCGAGTCAATGGCCTGTGTTATCAAATCAATAAGAGTTTGCACTCGATGTTTTTTTTTTTTTTTTTTCTTTAATTATGAGAAAAACTTATCTACTAACTAGACTACTAACAATTTATCTTACACGAAATTCCATTTATAATTTCTTACACTCGTGTATACATAGTAACAAAATCCAATCAAACAATATTCCAATATTTATTGCAGAACAATATTGGATCTCAATTTTTAGGATTTATTAAATCCATGATGTTTGATCAAAGATTTGAAGAAAATTTGCCTTAAACAATCATAGATTTTTTTATTACTTTATTCAATAAGTGAAGCTAAACTAATTATACATACAAAATGTTTAATAGATTGCAATTTTTTTAGGCAGTAAAAAAACATATTGCCAAATGCACCTCTGATTAATGACTATATTTTGACAAAAAAAAATGTTTCGTTATAGTTAGTGTACACTACTATACAAATTTAGGCAGAATAAAAAAAGCCCGAAACTTTTCTACCATTTCCATAAAAATGTTAGTTATGCCCAAAGTGATTTCGTAAACAAGTGTAAAAGCTAACAATTAAAGTATTCAGACAAACTGACGTTACCGTCAATGTACTTACCTGGAAGTAGAAAGATACTTAGGAGCTGCATCAAGACTAAGCTCTGCCATACTGGAAGTCTTTGAATCACTCCTTTTGAATTTTTTCCAACTCGCATACAAGAGTTACTTAAAATTCCCATGGTAAAATGTCACAACCACGAAATACAAGCAATACTTTATGACAAAACTATGTAAATTGACAAAAAAAGGTGAAAATGCGTAATAAATCACCAGCTAATAAAATTCATGCGTTAAAAATTCAGTGTAGACAGCAAATGAACAGTCTATAGTAGACTAACGTGAGAATAACGGCAAGATTTTACTGCTTTGGAGCTGCCCATATTCTTGTCCTGCTTTAACAGTCGCTATCACTGATATCCGCTTAGCAACACATTTTAATTACTAAGAATTTATTAAGCTACGCTTTATTAGCAGTACTTAAGTTTTTTTAACGATTGAGTCACACTTTAAATAGTTTTGCAAGTACCTGAGTTAAGTAAAATTTAAATTAAATTACATTATATCTTCAAACTGGTGGCATTTGGGATCCGTAAGGGATCAAAGAGATTTATTTGTAAAAATACGTTTTTACTTTTCTACCATGAAATATTTAACAATGTCAAACTATAACAGCAAAAATAAAGAAGGCACTAAAAGTTGTAAAGTAAATCAATATGAAAATATAACTAAAAATTAGGAAGCACATGTACCATGAACAAGACATAAAAAGGGCAATGATCCATAGTGAAATTATTACAAAATTTTTTTTTTGTATAATTTACCTTAATTTTTTCTGTCAGCGTACTAGCTCTTATTCTAATGATGTCGTAAAATACACGTTTTTTATAACATTATAATTTAACTGAATTCAGATATTACGAAATTCTAAATTTCAACCGGATCGTACTAAATTACTACTACAATCATTGGATATCACTCTTGAAACTCCTCAGTAAAA